CGGGTGCACGGGGGGAGCTTCTCCCCTCGGCTGCCATTCACTTCCCACCAAGCATTGCGGAGGGACTTCTCGTACCAGGCAAGCGGTGGTGACCCGAGAGGAGGGATCGCAGATGCACGCACAAGGACTAAGTGGGAAAACGCGATGCTCTGCGGTATTCCCTGAAGGCTCTTGGGTTTTTCGTTAGTCCGCTGGTGAAGAACTGGAGCTGTGGCAGGAAAATTTGATGACGTTATTCCCATTTAGAGACTCTTGTGATGTGGAAAGGGTGTGGGACGATGCGACTGTTTGTAAGCCATACTATTTCTCCTATTCAAACCACAGCTGAAAAAAAAAGTTCAGCCTGAACCAGAGATATCCCATAGTTCTTCTATGTTTAAATACACCGGTGGGGGGGGCAGGGCCGTGTTTAGAAAAACAGCACAATCTCCACAAACGATCAGCTAAGGACCTTCACGCACGCAACGGTAATCCAAGGCAAGGGCTAGACCTGAAAGGCATGAGGAAATCTTCCGTTTCAAACAGAACCACATTCTTTACTCCAGAGGTTTTGCAGGGTTTGACTGTTGCCTGCCTTCCCAAGCAAGTCCCAGCAGCGGGGCTCCAGCAGAAACCACCACGAGCTGCGTGGCCACGTGCCGAGCGAGCCCCTCCTGGCAGAGGGAAGAGGCTGTAGAGCATGATCTCATGGATAAGATCCAAATAGACAGAGCAGCAGAGGGGAAGACGGTGCCCTGACAGAGCAAGATTGGAACACCGGGAGCGCAGGCAACCTGGGAGCTCCGGATTGATATTAAAGTGAAAGTTTAACTGATTGCAAAGCTCCTTTAGCTGAGTATTTTCTTGCCAGGAGCCTTCTGGACTAGGTTGGAGGCCCACACTCAGAGAGAAACTCAGAAGGAACACCAAGGCTGGTTTTTATTCACCGGTTTCCTGATGTAATGGGTTAGGCATGCTTTACAGCAATGCTTTCCTACTGCAGGTTTAGTTAATGTCTTCAAAATTGCTGCTGCACCAGCAAGAAGTAGAAAGTCAGCCCTGACCTGTAGCAAAACACACACGGAGATTTGACAGCCACTCTTCCCCATCAGCCCTGGGCAACCAGAACGGCCCAAACTCTCTGCTAGCTTGGGAAGCTAGCAGAAAACAGTCAGAGAGCAAAAGAAACCAAACTAAAAAAATGTTCTAACAAATTTATACTGCTGCAGAAAGTCACAAACGTGAATCATCCCAAAGGAAAAAATATGTTCTTGTCTTCAACACAAGCGCCTGGCTGGCAGGGACCACTCCTCCTTGATGGAGCAATGTGTCCCTGGTGTTACCTGTCCTCAGGGAGACTTTGGGGCCTGCAGCAGTGGATGATCATTACAGTTTTCACTGCTTTATCATTAGAAAGTAAGTATTCACAGCTTTTGTATTGTCATACGAGCTCCTCAGTCCACCCTGCGTGGGCTGGAAAACCAATGTTTGACTGGTTTCAGACGCAAACACAAGGAGCGCAGCCTGCTTCTTGCTCCGTGCATCCCTTAGGCTGCCTAGAGAAGGACAGCAGCTTGTGCAAATCCACACAAGCATCATATCAAAGCCAAAAATATGAGGACAAGAGAGAAAGAAAAAAACCAAAATCACCCAACAGGACCAGGGGTAAAGCTGCCCAGTGGTTTTCTCTACTGGAAGGTTCTGCAAGGAGCGACACCCCTACGAGTGGGAATGTGCCGCTGTCCTGGATGCGCGTGAAATGCAAATTGCTTTCTACTTGCTGCTGGGCATTTGTGCCTCTGGACGAGAAGATGGGCATTGCTCGGGAAAAGGAAAAACCAAGGGAGATAACTGCTCTTCCAGTTCCGAGCTGATTATTCTGTTGTATCCAAAGTTTGCCCTCTTGCAGGCTGCCCAGTGAGCAAACCGAAAGGAAACACCTCGCTCACACACAAAGCACAGATGAGAACACCAAGTGACTGAAACCGGGTAAAACATTACCTGGGAGAGAGGAATGAGGAGCTATTAAAGCTGCTTTCCCCATTACACAAGCCCTCCGAGAACAAATCTGCTTCGTTCCCTTCTCCGTAATCCTCAAAGTGCTCCTCTCCGCTAATGACCGTAACGATGGAGTGGCTGAGGTCTGAACCCAGGGGCAGGTCGTGCGGATGAGATCTGTTGGCAACAGAGAGGAAGACGTTAGAGGGTGGTCACCGCAGCCCAGGCACCCCCAGGAAGTTCTCAGTCCATTCTTTTTGCCCCACAAACCAATGTTTTTTCACGCAAGCTCCCCCAGCATCTGCGACATTGGATCTGGCAGACTCGCAAGACAGCACCCAGGGTTCGTGGTGAGCTCTTGGACAGCCCGGGTACCACCGAAAAACACGGCAGAGAAGCAGCTCGGTGCGTCCCAAACGCACCCTATATATGTTTTGAGTTACATCGTCAGTCTATGTGCCGGGCTGCGCTCGCTTAGTGCTGTATAATCCTATCAAGAGCCCAGCACCGGGGTTTAACGCCGTAACCCCTCCCTCCATGACACAAATCCCGGCGGTCACAGGCAGCTGCCAAACCCGGCAGTGACAGAATTCCCCCCGGCAAGACAAAGGAG